TCAGCCTCACAACTGGAGCTGAGAACAGACGAAGAGCGTGTGGAACGCCAAGAAACTGAGCCGGAGCCAAGGCTGAAGGTGTAACCCTGAGACGACCGCTGAGTAGCCTGGTCGTCCGCCCAAGAAGCGTCTGAGTGTCCAGTGAGCACAACTCGGTCTCGCCCTCCAAGCACTAGCCCCATGCCCGACGTACTGCACAAGTAGCGCAACACCCTCTTAGCGGCATCCATGTGCTCCTTCCTGTGACGGCCAGGAGCGACATAGCGTGCAAGGATGCTAAGAGGGTATGCAAGGTCAGGTCGAGTGCAGGTCATCAGGTACATGAGGCAGCCCACAAGCTCTGGATACGGGCCACTCGGCTCTACGGACTCATCCGAAGGCAGAGCTGAGAGCGAGTGACCGGTAGGCAGAGGAGTGGACTGAGGCGAGGAGTACGTGAAGCGGAAGCGCTGGAGAACCTGCTGCACCATGTGTGACTGAGTCAGGGTGATGGTGCGCCGTGCTCTGTCCCGGGTGATCCGCAAGCCAAGATAGCTTGTCAGCTCACCCAGGTCTGTGCACGTGTGTCTCCTCTGCAGCTCCGACTTCACGTAGGCGAGTCCTGCAGTGTCAGCAGTGGCAAAGACCAAGTCGTCGACGTACACGAGGATGTAGAACGGCGGCAGCGAAGTGTCGGTGCGCAGAAACAGCGACGGGTCAGCAGTAGAAGGCGCGAACCCAAGAGCCGCAAGTGTAGTCCTCAGTGTGTCGTGCCACTCACGTGGAGCCTGGCGGAGACCGTAGACCGGCCGCTGAAGCCTCCACTGGGTACCAGGAGGAAACGACCCAGTGAAGCCAGGGGGGCGGCGCAGCCAGATCTCCTCGTGCAGGCTGCCCTGCAAGAAAGCAGTGCTGAAGTCAAGTGAGTGGAGCTCGTAGTTGCGGTGAGCGGCTATGTGCAGCAGCACCCGAAGAGTAGTCATCTTCGGGGTGGGGGAGAAGGTCTGAAAGAAGTCTACTCCCTCTCGCTGACTGAAGCCTCGAGCCACGTAACGCGCCTTGAAGACAGGCGGAGAACCCGGCGGCCGCTTCACCCTGAAAATCCACATGCCACTGACGATGTTCGCCCCAGGTGGGGGAACCTCGTCGACGTAGGTGCGTGTGGACTTCCAGGAAGCCATCTCTGCGTCCATGGCTGTCTGCCACTGAGAGGAGTAGGGACCCGCCATCGCCTCAGCGTAAGTTCGCGGGGTCGGGATGTCTGGTGCATCCGGGTCTCCCTCAGGGGCAACTAGCATGGACACGAGGTGGGGCAAAGCAGCAGCAAAGCACTGGAACTCCTCCTGTCTGTCCTCAAGGACGTCCGTGCCAAGAGCACACTCACCCCCGACGGACGGAGGACAGGCAGACTCAGACTCAGACTCAGCAACAAGGCTAGCAGCGTAGTCTAGGCGACAGCGAGCAGCAAAGTCAACCAACTCAGCGACCAGAGCAGACGCAGCGGCGGACTCAAAAGTAGGGTCAGTGACAATTGTGGCGAGAAGACGCATGACAGTGGGACTGGCAGCACGACGGGAGTCAGACTCCGGGTCAGGAAGAGTAGGTAGAGAGGACGCAGGAGGAGACGGCAGAGGGACATGCTGAGGAGCAGTGGAGGGACGCAGAGTCATGTAGTGAGTGCCAGGGACAGGAGGAGGACGCTCACGTGGGACACGACGACCAGTGCGAGCAGTACGAACAGGCGACGCAGGACGAGACGCAGGCTCACGACGCTCTGAAAGGCCTCCGGTGGGACCAGTGTAAGGAGAGGGACGAGGAAGAGGCGAGGCAGGCGGTAACTGTGACTGCGACTGGACAGGCGGAGGACACTCTACGGAGGGAGGAGGACAAGGAGGAGGAGCCTGACCAAGAACCTGCTGAAGGAGCGGAACGAAGTACGGTCGCGGCCGCGCAGCGTCTCCAGAACCAGCAGAGACACCAGCGGCAGGGTCCTCAGTACCAGCAGCAGCTCCAACTCCCGGGTCCTCAGCTCCAGTAGTAGCTCCAACGCCCGGGTCCTCAGCACCAGCAGCAGCGCCACCGCTCGGCTCCGCAGCATTAGCAGCAGCTCCACCGTCCGGGTCCTCAGCTCCAGCAGTAGCTCCAACGCCCGGGTCCTCAGCACCAGCAGCAGCTCCACCACTCGGGTCCTCAGCACCAGCAGCAGCGCCACCGCTCGGGTCCTCAGCACCAGCAGCAGCTCCACCACTCGGGTCCTCAGCACCAGCAGCAGCGCCACCGCTCGGGTCCTCAGCACCAGCAGCAGCTCCAAAGCCCGGGTCCTCAGCACCAGCAGCAGTGCCACCCCCAGGGTCCGCAGCACCCGGAGCACCACTCCGAAGACTGCAGCGTCGCGTGTACCACTCTCGGATCTGCTGAATGGGGGGGAGCTCCTGGGTAGGAGGGGAAGTACCGGGACGAGCTCCAGCAGCACCTCTCCGGAGGCGGCAGTACTCGAGGTACCTCTCCTGCAGCTGCTGGGAGGAGAGGGCTCCTCCAGGTGTAGCACGCTCAGTCTCAGTACCCCCAGACTCCGCACCCCCAGGCTCAGCACCTCCAGGCTCCACACCTCCAGGGTCCGCACCTCCAGGCTCAACACCCCCAGGCTCCGCACCTCCAGGCTCAACACCCCCAGGCTCAGCACCCCCAGACTCAGCACCCCCAGGCTCAGCACCCCTAGACGCAGGACGAGAGTCAACAGCTACCTCGACAGGCTCACCCGGGTCTACCTGGGACACACCTGAGGGAGCGGCACCCTGAGGGGGGAGGGGGTCTGGTACCTCAGCACCTGGAGCGAGGAAGAGAGGCGGGGGGGGGAGCGGGGCAGTGCGGTAGGGGAAGAGGCGGTAGTAGGGGACGGACTCGTCAAAAGTGACGTCCTGAGAGGCCAGGACACGCCGCGAGGTGGGGTGGTAGAACTGCCAACCAGGGGCGTCCGGGACAAAGCCAAGGAAGACGCAGGGGACAGCGCGACGGGAGAGCTTGTCCGCGGACGTGTCGCGGACAAAAGCTCGGGATCCCCAGACCCGAAAACGCGACGCATCGCCAGCCTCTCCCGTCCAACGCAGTGTCGGAGAAGTCTCGGGCAAGGAGACACGGGGCCAGAGGTTGAGCTGATGCGCAGCGTATTGGACTGCAAACGGCCACAGAAAGTGGGGGGCAGCCGCATGAACCAAGGAGGTACGAGCGACCTCCATGACCAAGCCAATGCGGTGCTCAGCAACCCCATTCTGCTGTGGAGAGGCCGGAAGCGTGAACGACTGCTCAATGCCCTCCTGCTGACAGAAGGCCTCCAAGAGGCCAGAGGAAAACTCTCCACCTCTGTCAGAGTGCAGACGCAGGACAGGGAAGTCGGAGCGGAAACGCTCACTAAGCTGGAGACGAGATCTGCGGATCCAAGGGATCAAGACATCAGAAACGTCACCCTTGGTGCGCAAGGGGAAGACCGTGGTGTAGCGCGAGAAGTCGTCAACAACAATCAGGAAGTACCTCTCCTGACCCTGACCACGGACGCGGGCTGGGCCCCACACGTCCATGTGGAGTGTCTGCAAAGGAGCAGTCGTTGGGGGAAAGGAGGAGGAGTGAGGAGCGGCGCGCTGCCGCCCCTCGACACAGGGAAGACAGGGAGGAGCAGGTGAGTCGGGAAGGGGAGGGAGCACCCTGGGAAGACCAGCAACAAGGTCCCGTTTGTGCATGGCCCGAAGGCGCTGCACAGACGGGTGACCAAGGCGGTGGTGCCAAAGGACAGTCTCATGCGCCAGAGAGCGACACGAGCAGGGGGCGGACAGCTGACCTGACGCAGACGTAGACGCAGACGCAGACGCAGCTACCTAAGGGGACTCAGTGGTCAGTGTGTACAGGTCCGACCCCGGCTCTCGAGTGAAAGTAGCCAGGTGGCGACCCGTCCGAGCACACGTGCAGTGTGTCACGCGCTCGTAGGCAGGGGTGAACTGGTGAACACCCGAGTCCTGGAGCGCACAACCTGCCACCAAGTTCGTAGAGAACGAGGGGAGGTAGAGACCTGACAGCGTGCCGGACGGGACCGCAGGACAAGGAAGGACAGTGGAGGAGGTCGCAATGACCGGACCCCCAGAGGGGTCAGCAAGGGAGACAGCAACTGGCCGAGCGAGTGGCTCAAGGACAGTGCGGTCACGAAAGAAAGAGCGAGAAGCACCTGAGTCCAGGGTGAAGGTGTGCAGTGCTGCAGTCGACTCAGTACCAGGGGGCACAGACGCACTAGCACCTAGGGCAGCAGCCTCACCATCACCTGGGGTAGCAGACACGCGAGCACCTGGAGCAGCAGACGCACTAGCACCTAGAGTAGTAGGCTCACCAGCACCTGGAGTAGCAGACACGCGAGTACCGGGAGTGGTAGCCTCACCTGCACCGAGGGCAACAGACGTACTGGCACCGAGAGCGGCTGCCTCACTCACAGAGCGACTACCACTACGGCCACCCCGACTGCTCAAACCTGCGTACCACTCACGAGCCTGCTGGAGCAGAAGAGGGCACGGCTGCTGCACCTGTCCACTACCTGAGGCTCCCGAACGACGGACGCCAGAGCGACTACCACTACGGCCACCCCGACTGCTCAAACCGGCGTACCACTCACGAGCCTGCTGGACCAGAAGAGGGCACGGCTGCTGCACCTGTCCACTACCAGGGGCTCCCGAACGACGCACGCCAGAGCGACTACCACGCCGGCCACCCCGACTGCCCAAACCGGCGTACCACTCACGAGCCTGCTGGAGCAGAAGAGGGCACGTGTGCTGCACCTGTCTACTACTAGAGGCTCCCGAGCGACGCACTCCAGAGCGACTACCACTACGGCCACCCCGACTGCCCAAGCCGGCGTACCACTCACGAGCCTGCTGGAGCTGCATCTGGCCACGTCAGGAGCAGCAGCAGTAGCGGCAGCAACAGCAGGAGCAGTAAAGGCAGTAGCAGCAGCAGTAACGGTAGCAGTGCTAGCACGGCAAAGCTCACCAGTGGTTGGTGCGGCGGGCGCAAGACAGTGGCGACAGCGTGGCCGCTGCAACAGCGGGGCGGGGCCAGGTCGTAGCAGGGAGCTCCGCGGCAGCTGCTGCAGGGTCTGTGGCGGCCGCTGCTGTAGGCTCGGCGGCGGCAGCTGCTGCAGGTCGAGCGGCGGCTGCTGCTGTAGGGTCGGCGGCGGCCGCTGCTGTAGGCTCGGTGGCGGCTGCTGCTGCAGGCTCGGCTGCTGCAGCTGCTGCAGGTCGAGCGGCGGCTGCTGCTGCAAGCTCGGCGGCGGCAGCTGCTGCAGGTCGAGCGGCGGCTGCTGCTGCAGGCTCGGCGGCGGCAGCTGCTGCAGGTCGAGCGGCGGCTGCTGCTGCAGGGTCGGCGGCGGCCGCTGCTGTAGGCTCGGCGGCGGCTGCTGCTGCAGGGTCGGCGGCGGCTGCTGCTGCAGGCTCGGCTGCTGCAGCTGCTGTAGGTCGAGCGGCGGCTGCTGCTGCAAGCTCGGCGGCGGCAGCTGCTGCAGGTCGAGCGGCGGCTGCTGCTGCAGGCTCGGCGGCGGCAGCTGCTGCAGGTCGGCGGCGGCTGCTGCTGCAGGCTCGGCGGCGGCAGCTGCTGCAGGTCGGCGGCGGCTGCTGCTGCAGGTTCGGTGGCGGCAGCTGCTGCAGACGAAGTCGAAGCCGCGAAGGGGCGGCTGAGGGATCGCGCGCGGGCGGCTAGCGGGTCACGCGCGCGAAGAATCGGCCGCGCGCGGGCGGCTAGCGAGTCGCGCGCGTTAAAAACGAGCCGCGCGCGGGTGGCTAGCGGGCTGCGTGCGCGCGGTAGGTAGAGGCGCACGAGGGCGCTAAGGCGCACGAGGGCGCGCGGTAGGTAGAGGCGCACGAGGGCGCTAAGGCGCACGAGGGCGCGCGGTAGGTAGGGGCGCACGAGGGCGCGAAGGCGCACGAGGGCGCTCGGTAGTGAGAGGCGCACGAGGGCGCACGAGGGCGCACGAGGGCGCACGATAGGTAGGTAGGTAGGTAGGTAGCGGTGGGCCCTAGGAGCGGTCCTAGCAAAGGACCTGCTCTGATACCATGTCAGAATGAACAGGCAGGAATGAGTGAACTAGCAGCATGCAGGAGTACAAGTAGTAAACCCTAATTTGGGTTGTACCCCATATGGGCTACCCCACTACAGCCTAGACAGTATGCAGCACATATGTTTGACACCTTCTGCAACCTAACTATCCTCAGTGGGATCGTATCCCTTCCAGCAAATCAGGTCTTGCCGCCGCGGCGCCGATGAGTGAGAACGCGCTCGATCTCATACTCTGGTTCATCCTGTACGAGTACAGGTGGTTGTGGCGGTAGCTGCTGTCCCTGAAACTATTGGTTGGGGTCCTTGTAGGGTTTCAGTAGCTGAACATGGAAAGCGTTCTGTAGCTTCCACGTATGTTACTGGTGTCACCTGTGCCTCCACGAGAAAAGGACCACAGAAGCGAGGCCGGAGTTTGGATGGTAGGTGAGACAGGTTCAAGTTGCGTGTGTCAAGAAGCACCTGATCTCCGACTGCTACTGCGTAATCTCGTCGTTGGCGATCAGCATACTGCTTCTGGGAGTTCTGCATCATGGTGAGACGTCGCTGAGTCTTCTCCCATAGCTGCTGCATGGTTGTAATGAAGTCGTGTGCGGCTTGGACGTGTGCCGGTGTGGTTGGCTGCTGTGGTGTGAGTGGTTCCCGTCCGTAACACAGGAAGAAAGGAGTTTTTCCTGTGGCCGCATGCGAGGCGTTGTTGTAAGCGAACTCTAAGGGCGTGTCAACTAGCGTTCGGAAATGTTCGAACTTTGGTGGTAACCATATTTCGCATATGTCGCCATTAGTATTCGCGAGGAGAAGTCCTGAGTAGTGTACACTTTCGAGTTTGACGTGTTCGAAATTTGATTCCCGCCAACATTCGAACACACTCGGGAGCGCGGCCCGGGCTTCAACTCGTGCGACGTTACAATACTCGCGATCAGATTTCGCAGAGAGTTTCAACCAATCAGATTTCGTGCGATGATGTCAACTCTGTACCGAATTCAAGGGCGCGACGACTTTCTCGAACCTTGACGTGTGTCACAGAGATATTTGTTCAAAACGTCGAGGCAAAGATGGGGTTCGAATTATGGGTGTTCGAAAAACAACGAGGATGATAATTCGATCTCAGAGTTCGATTCTCATAAAATCTAAGACAAGTGCATACGCCCTAAGGTCGTTAACTGTATGCCCGAGTGGCTGATGTCGTCCTTGCAAGCTGTGCGCAGTAACTGTTCAACCACCTGATTGAGTCGCTCTGTCTGTCCGTCAGTCTGGGGATGGTATGCTGAAGACATTGCAAGCTTAGTTCCCAGTAGTCCCATGAGCTCCTTCCAGAACTTACTCGTGAATTTGGGGTCTCTGTCTGAGATGAGTGTAGCGGGGATGCCGTGGATGTTGGTGATGCGGTCGAAGAAGAGTCGAGCAGTTGCTTCAGCTGTAGCTGTGGCGTTGGTCGGTATGAAGTGACCCATTTTAGAGAACTTATCGATTACTACGAGGATGGAATCGTGTCCTCGTGTGGTCAAGGGAAGTCCTGTGATGAAGTCGAGGCTAACGACCTGCCATGGCTGCTCCGGTACGGGTAGAGGCTGAAGTAACCCTGCTTTTTTCTGCTTGCTACTCTTCATCCGCTGGCACGTGTCACATGAGGTGACGAACTGCTGCACGTCTGCTGCCATCCGGGGCCAGTAGTAATACTTCGCTATTCCCGCTAACGTCTTGTTGCTCCCAAAATGTCCCGCGTATAGTACGTCGTGGAACTCCTCCACCAGGATCTGCCGTAGCGGGGCGTAGTTCGGTACCCAAATCCTTCCTATGCCCTTCCTTACCGCTAAGTCTTTCTCCCACTGAAACAACTTCTGTTTCTCTATCGTTGCTATCTCTGCGTCCACGGAGTACCCATGTTGGAATAGACCCTTGAGCAGAAAAAGGGTTCATCCCGTCGAGTTGGATGCCTGCTACATGACCGGGGCGGCTCAACGCGTCAGCTTTGTTGTGTAGCCTAGGTTTGTAGAGGATGTCGTAGTGGAAGTGGGTCTCCAAGAAGTCCACCCACCACACCTGTCGTCATGAGAGCGTCGGCTGCGACTTCAGGTATTTAAGACTGCAGTGGTCAGTATAAACTGTGGTCTTAGCTCCCTCTATGTAAGACCTCTACGCCTTGAAGGCTACGGCTATGGCTAAGGCTTCCTTGTTGTGAATGGGGTAGTTCAGTTCTGCTCCGTGTAGCTTCTTACTGAGGTAGGCAATAGGCTGTAAACCGCGTCCGTGATCCTGCATCAGTACTGCTCTGACTGCCTGGTCACTAGCGTCTGCTTCAACTACGTAGTCCTTGTCTGGATCCGGTAGAATGAGTACTGGCGCCGTAGTCAGTGCTATCTATAGCTGCTCCATGGCTTGCTGATGAGGAGTATCCCATTTGTAGGGCGTATCCTTTTTCAGTAGGTCGGTCAGTGGCGCTGCTATCTTAGCGTACTGCGGCACGAACCTGTTGTAGTAGTTGGCGAAGCCGAGGAACTGCTGCAATTCCTTCACGTTCTCCGGGGCTTTCCACATTTTAACAACTTCGATTTTCCGCGGGTCCACGTGTACGCCCTCCGCACTCACCATGTGCCCGAGAAACTGCACCTTCTTCAGGGCGAAGTCGCTCTTTGACAGCTTCACGTAGAACTTATTTTTCCGCAGGATCTCGAACACCTTTCGCAGATGCTCCACGTGCTCCTTCAAGTTCCTGAAGTACATGAGAATGTCGTCCAGGTACACAACTATGCACTCGTCCAGCAGGGGCCGTAGGATATGGTTCATCTCCGCCTGGAACGTCGCTGGTGCGTTGCAGAGTCCGAACGGCATCACCAAGTATTCGTAGGAGCCGTATCTGGTACGGAACGCCATCTTGTGGATCGAGTTGTCCGCCATCTTGATCTGCCAGTAACCCGACCGTAAGTCCAGCTTCGAAAAGACTGTTGCACCACGCAGTTGGTCCAGTAGGTCGTCTATGCGCGGTATGGGATATTTGTTTTTAACTGTCTGTTTGTTCAGTGCGTCGTAGTCGATGCGCATCCGTAGACTGCCGTTTGGTTTTGGGGTGAAGAAACTTGGTGCACCGTAGAGAGGGGTGGATGGGCGAATCAGTTGTCTGTCCAGTAGATACTCTATCTGCTTCTTCATGTCTGTCAGTTCTGTCGGACTTAGTCGATATGGTGTACGTGAGACGGGTTTCGCACCTGGTTCCTCCACGATCTCGTGCTCGTGGGTGCGTGCTGGAGGTACACCTGCGGGTAGGTCGTCGGCCATTATATCCTTATACTGCTCCAAGACCTCCTTCATTTCTAAAGGTAGCTCCGAACTTGGCTTCTCCTCCTCTGCTACTGCCATAACCAGTGCTAAGTAGCCATTATGAAACATAAACCCCTTATGTTCGTGATCGGCAACGTCGGCTTCCACCTGAACGCACCTATATGCAACTGCAGTGATGTTTTGTCGTGGATGGGAAGCTTCGTACCGTCCACCATGGTTGCTGAAAATTGGGTCTTCTCCGCTTTCTCTCCAACTTTCTCCAACGTCCCGCGGTCACACACCGAGTGGGACGCACCGCTGTCCAACATCGCCTGTAAGCGTCGCCCATTGCAGATCACCTCGAGGAGTAGTGGTTGTTGCCGCTCCGAGTAGCCATAGATGGTCTCGCTTATAGGATCATAGGGTACGTCGAATAGATCATCCCTAGGTTTTGTGCTCGAAGCTGCTGACTTAATATCCGTTTTCAACTGAGCTACTTCGTCTTGGCCTAGAACCTTCCCCTAAGCCTTTGCAGCTATGTAGGCTTCACCTGTGGGCAATGGGGAGCCTTAACACTGTGCTGCGGGGAGAGAATATTAACTCCTTGGAACGCACGACCCTTATCAACACTGTTTGCCCAACTTGTTAGGTACCTGAATAATCTGGGTTAATTCTCCCCTGAATTTCTCAAAGGCTTGAAAATCACGAGAAGTAATATTCTTAGTTAAAGTATCTTTATAGGATAACTTTAACGAATTCTTACTTTCGTGGGTGTTCGGCTGGAGTTTCCCGGTCGGTGCAGAGTCTTGTTTCGCGGAGCCTCCATTTGTCTCGGTGATCTCCCCTAGTGCCGGCTAGTCGAGGCATACGTTTTAAATTCGCGCCATCATGTCCTCCTTTTTTCGCCCGCTCCGAAGTCGCCACGTCGTCGCCTTTTTGCTTTATCCGAATCTTTTTGTGATCGCCAGGTCGATCCGCGGCTACAGGCGATGCCCGTTTTTTTACTTCGAGGGTGCCGCACTGTTGTTTCCCCGCATCGCTGCTCGTGCCTTCTTCATTTTCCAACACGCCAAGAGTCGATGTCCCGCTGCGCCGCAAAATTCGCATTTTCCATTGTTTGTCGGCCGTTGCTTCGCTTCGATCTCGGGTCGGCGGTCGTGGGTGGTGCCGATCGCTTCGTGTCGAATGATCTGTTCGGCACGTGGCGTCGTGTCTCAGGTTGACCTCGCATCAGCGCATTGAATCTCTGCTGCACACACCATGTCGCGGTAGTTGTTGTAGTTCGCGGCAATCACCTGTCGGCGGACTTCTCTCTTTAGCCCCTCAGTATACGCTTGGATTTTTCCCCCTTCAGTCATGTCGGTAATTCGATTAAAGAGGGTCTCCATTCGCTGCATGTACTGTGTTACACTGCCGTACTGTTTATGCCGATGAATCTGCTGCCGCGCCATGTAGCTGGAATTGATCAGTTTGAAATGTTGAATTAAAGCTGTCAGAATCCCAGCCACTAACCACAGGGATAAAAGGGCTTGTTTGTGTAACGGGTGAGTGCGCCCATAACCCCCCAGGCCGCCGTGCCTGTAACCCTTCCCTAGGATCAATCGGGGATCACTAGTGGACCTCTGACACCCCCCCGCACTGGGATGCCCGAGGTGCACACACCGGGATTCGAACCCGAGACCTTCGCTCTGATAACATGTCAGAATCCCAGCCACTAACCACTGGGATAAAAGGGCTTGTTTGTGTAGCGGGTGAGTGCGCCCATAACCCCCCAGGCCGCCGTGCCTGTAACCCTTCCCTAGGATCAATCGGGGATCACCAGTGG